TAACAGAAACAGAAACCTAACAATAATGAAGGAACACAAGTAAAAAAAAAGCTCTGTACACACGCTCTGAGCTTGCTAAATGAGAAACACATCCAGTGCAATAAAGACGTGAGTGCCCAAAACGTTGGACACTCAAAGTTAAAAACTGTTTTTTATGAACAAGCCAAATGTCAATTATTGCATGCACAATACATTTCCTTTTGCTAATCTCTTCTTATGTGATTCTAATAGGCCCAGAGGTGAGTACTGTCTCTCGTCACAGAATGTATCGTTAGGCTCGCGTTGTTCACCTTTCCTTGGGCAGACGGCTTCATCTGTTCCTGCAGGACAGTCTCTGTGTCCATCGCAGAGTCTGTCTGCAGGGACACACTGATCACCTGGACACTGAAACTCCCCTGGTGAGCACACACACCTATAAACCAGAGAGATTTGATCAAATGCTTATTTACAACACATGCTAACACAGCTGTTATTAAATCTTAAAAAGAAAAAAAAACAAGATAAAGTCCTGCAAGCTACCAGAAAACAAGGGTTTAGAGTCAGTCGGGAAAATGTAATGTAGACAGATGCTCTTAAACTGCTATTTAAATTTTTTCAACATAAAACAACAGACAGTTGTCTTTAATTTTTATTTTTTTTTCCATTATACTCTCTGTTTTCTGTTCCTCTCGTCTCATGGTATGGAAGCAGACTTCCAGCAGTTACTGTATATCTTCTATGTTGTCTATTTTTGCTGTTTTGTTTTATCTTCTCTCGTTTCATGCATTCATTTCTGTGTCTCTTTCTCTCTCTCCCGTTAGTTCTTATCCCCTTTTTGTGTCTGTTGTATACAATTTTACGTCCTGAATAATTTTCAATTAAGGACTATATTTGCAATTTGCAGAAAAAAAAAAGATAGTATAATGAAGATAGTATCATTAAACACACCCCCTTTCATCGCTGAGGTCTCCGCAGTCATTGTGGCCATCACAGCGGTGGATATAAAGGATGCAGCGCCCCCCAGGACACAGGAACTCCCCTTCATCACATACCACACCACAGTCTGGTATAACAAAAGCACAGATCACATTAAATTATGTAGAGATTCTTTCAAATTAAATTTAGTCATGTAGCAGCAATTCAAAAAATTTCCAATCAAGGCTCTTTGAGACAATTCAGTGAAATCATCCGGCCAGATTACTCAGAAGGTTTCTATCCAGCAAAAAACGGGTGATAGCATCCAGTCACTGACACACAATTTCCTCCTCCCTAGACGAGCATGACAGTAGATTTTTGTTTGCATTTTGTTGTTGACTCCACAGCAATTCCCTCAGACTGAGCATGCATGCAGTAACAGTGGAGCAGAAATACTCTCTTTTAAGAAGAAGAAACCTGCAGCAGAACCAGGTTTGGTGTTAGCATGGTTCAAAGAGACATGAGCAGACATG